CTTTTTAATGTGTCTAGCCCAATCCTTGTTATAAGGTATATGCCAATATATACTTTAATGAGTATGTTGGATAAGCCCCAAAACAGAGACCTAAAAAATTCTGACTTAAAATTTGGTTATTTGGTGTAGTAATTTGAATGTAATTGGCCCCCATAAGCTCATAAAGTGTGGTACTATTAGGAAGTGTGGCCTTGTTAAAGTAGGTGTGACCTTGATGGAGAAAGTGAGTCACTGTGGGGACAAGCTTTGAGGTTTTATATATGCTCAAGCTACGCCCAATGTCTCTGTTCATTTCCTGTTGCGTGTGCAAGATGTAAAACTCTCAGCTCCCTCTCCAGCACCATGTCTACCTGAATGCTGCCATGTCACACCATGATAATAATGAACTCGACCTCTGAACTGAAACCCAGCCCCAATTAAGTGTTTTCCTTTAAGAGAATTGCTGTGACCATGGTGTCTCTTCACAGTGATAAAACCCTAAGACATTTGGTTTTATATTTTACAAGGTTTATGGAAAGTTAAGTATATATGGAAAGTTTTAAAAAAGGTTTGCTCCTGAAATTTTATTATCAAATATTCATTATACACAGTGATAGATGTCATATAGGCAGTTTTATAAAATATATTTTATACTCAAAATATTTACCTTATTCAACTTGCGTCATCCTTTCTACCCCTATTCCTCCTGCTTCCACGCTTTCCCCATCAAATCTCGTTTTTATTTCTATGTGGTGTGTGTGTGTGTGTGTGTGTGTGTGTGTGTGTGAGAGAGAGAGAGAGAGAGAGAGAGAGAGATACAGAGACAGAGACAGAGACAGAGAGACAGAGAGAGAGACAAAGAGAGAGACAGAGAGACAGAGAGTGAGACAAAGAGAGAGAGAGCTCTTATCTACAGAATATCTAAGATTTATGAGAGTGAAAGATGAGATAAATTATTTCATATACACAAAAATGTTATCACTGACTTAAGGGCCAGGGACCCATAGATAGGCTTTGTAAAGATTAAAACAGAGATGACTGTTTGGTATTTGTCTTAAAGACTTAATATTTCTTAATTATCCCTAGTTGCATCTCTTTTCCTGCTGATGATATAACTTCATTCTTCTTTTGACTGAATAAAATTCCATTTTATATATATATATATCCTTTATCCACACATCAGTTGAATGATTGTAAGCTTGGCTATGGTGAATAGTGCTGCAGTAGACATCAGTATGCAAGTATCTCAGTGCTATGGTGAGTTAAAGCCATTTGTGTTAGATCCAGAACTCATAGAGCTGGGTCCTATGGGTAGTCCTGTGCTTGGTTTTCTGAGGAATATCCATACTTACTGGACTAACTCACTTTCCTACCAGCAATGGTGAATCTGTCTGAAGTTCATCATTTATATAACAAATTTTATTTGCACATATATCTCTCCCCCTTCTCTTTCTCTCCCTCTCTTCCTCCCTCCCTCCTTCTAGATTCAATCCTTTAAACAGCTACTCCTGGATCTCTGATCTTTGAATCAATGATTACTATATTAATTTGAGAAATAATTGGAATCTTCATTTCCTCATATATATTAGAATACTCAAGATTCCTGACTTTACATTTGCCCCCTTCAAAATCGTCATTGGAAAAACATGTATCAAAATTTGTTCTGGACACAGTTGGTGTTCTATTTTCTTGGTGAATATTTGACTGCCTCAACAGGAACCAACTTGACTCTAGCACCAGAAAATGCATTAAATATAGTACAGGTACTATCAATTAAAGTGTCTGAAAATTAATTACAACAAGAAGCAGAATCATTCAACTAATCACAGGCAGATCTAAATAAATTAGTTCTTAATCATAGCTTTGAAAGGAGAGAAAGGGAAGGCAACATCAAGAAAGTCAAATTGCCTTCCCTTAGGCAAAGACATACCAAAAGTCGGAGGTTTAACTTTAATTTTGTTGATAAGATCAACAGAAAGCTTTAATAATATTATTAATAAGTAATTTCCCTTAATGAAGGTTTTGAATATGATATTTTGAATGCTAGATAAAAGGTCATATTTGCCAGGCAACGCAAAAGCTGCATAGGTGGATGATGATGGTGGAGTAATGTGGAAAAATGACACACTCCCCATATGCTTTGCTCATCTCACCCCCACACTGTGCTGTAGTCAAGACTGTGGAGGGGTTGCCTTCCTTGCTACAGCATTCTATTAATAATTTCCCCTCCTCTGCAATCCTTGTAGAGGTAGAAAAAGCTGATAAATAGGTTCTCCTATTGAAGCTAAGCATGGAATGCTGCTGGGGAGAAACACTGAGAACTAAGACTGACATACCATGTCCATTTCTTCTAATTTCCACAAAAGCAAGCATCTTTGCTGGTTTTTTGTTGTTATTGTTTTGTTTTGCTTTAAGGTTTAAGTTTATTTCCTGTACCTTGTCTCTGAGTTCCTTAAACAGTGACATACATCAGGCTTATTAGTTGGTTATAAAACTTGCCCAACCAGCATGATAGGTCAGGTGTTTCCTGCTTAGGTAGAAACTTTTGTTGATGACTTCTGAGCAAATTTTATTCTCAGCAGCTTTGTGGTAAAACACTCGATTTGGAGGTCAGAACTCACTTTCTTAGTTTGATATAATCCATGTTCCTTAGCAGAACTTGTTTTGGGTTTGGCTGAAGGAAACCAATTTCTCCCAAGGTTCTGGATTATTCTTTCTGATCCATCTGAACTCTAGATAACACAATGTTGTCTAGGTACATGGCATACAGAAAACTGCTGTGTCTCTCACTGGGATATGAATAAAGACTGGTATCAGGCTCAGGTGTCCTTGGCCTGACTGTGGGTCTGAGAAAGCAATGCTACTGCAAGAACCTAAACTCCAAAGGGACAAAGAAATATATCTACCAGCTCTTCACAGAGATTGTGAAGACATTCAAATTGCCCAGAAATTTCTATCTGAAGCTAATTCCTAAAAAAACAAACTACAATTAAAACAATCACTCAACCTAATTTGAAATCTTAACCTTTCTACTCTACTAGCTACAATGAATCAAATATCTTTCTGGATTTAAGCTTCCTCAGAAAACATATTTTGAAAACTGTCTAGCTTCAGATTCTTGAGAAGATTAAATAAACCATCTCCATAGGCCCCCAGTAACTTCAATTAAATATAGTATAGCATGGAGAGGCAGGAAGATTGCTTACTCTTTTAATTCCAACTCTCAGGAGGCTGAAGCAGGAGGAACTCAAGATCTAGGACATCCTTACCTATCCATGGGGACTCTGTCTCAGAAGAATAATGTTATATAGCATTGAGTGTATGTTTTCTGGTATCCAAAAATAATTGCTGATATTTGATTTATTGCCTTAACTAGCTTGTCATCTTGTTTCTTCATTTAAGAAATCGCTAATGTTAAACAGATATTTTTCATGTTTAGCAATGTGGAAAGAACTTTTATTTATTCTGCTTTGTGAGGCCATATTTTCTGTCCTCAGAAAGCACCTTCAGGATGCTATCTTAATTAATATTGTAGGATTTTGACTTAGTGTTCATATTCATTAAAATCACTTCTGAAAACCCCGCTCTGATCATAGTTCTAAAGCATATCTCCATCTCTTCTCATTGACAGCCTCAAAGGGACAATTATTATGTCAGCCCTTTTCCTATATGCCATCCAAAAGCATCATTTTGAGGTAAAGATGTGATCAAGCTACTTGGATTAAAATCCTTCAGTTCATCTCTTGTTGATGTACTTGTTCAGCATCTTGAGACAGTTATGTGGGTAAGATTTGATGGGTGTAGTGTCTGGTCAATATACATTTACTCATGTAACACAATTAATGAAAAAGAGTTCATGAATTTGAAAGAGACCAAGGAAGTTTCAGAGAGAGGAAAGAAAAGGGAGAAATGGTATAACTATATTATAATCACAAAAAAATAAAAGAATTAAAAGAAAACTTTAGTATTCTTTCTGTGTGGTGATATTTTATTTGTGCTTTATTTTATTTTAATAAATAAAGCTTGCCTGAATATCAGAGGAAACAGCAAGCCCTTTTAAGTAAACAAAGAAGTCGGGCAATGGTAGCACACACCCGTAATCCTATCACTTGGCGGGCAAGATCTCTGTGTCTTCAAGGCCACACTAGAAACAGAGCCAAGTATAGTGGCACATGCCCTAAATTCCAAAACTGGTTAGTCATTGAGTTCTGAAGGTCTGTACAGACAGCCAGGAAGTGACAGATCTGAGTAGGAAGAGGAAGTGATGTAGCTGAATGGAGAGAGCAAATTAGATGGCAGAACAGTAAGGCATATAGGTGTGGGTAAACAGGAAATCATGGCATTTGGAAACTGCAGCGTTGGTGATGTAAGGTTGCCTGGTGGCTTTCCCTATTTCTCTGATCTCTCTAAGGGTTTCATCCCTATATTTGGCTCCATGATTTTTATTTAATAAGTCCATTTAAAAATTCATCTACAATTGACACCCAACTACAATTGTAGTTGAAAGTTTTCCTGTGTCCCACCTGGTCTGCAGCTGCTCAGGACCAAATAAACAAACAGCGGCTTATATTAATTTTAACTGATTGGCCATTAGCTTAGGCTTATTACTGACTAGCTCTTATACATAAATTAACCCATAATTCTTATCTATGTTTAGCCAAATGGCTTGGTACCTTTTCTCAGTTCTGCCTTGTTATCTTGCTTCCTCTGTGTCTGGCTAGCAACTTCTGACTCAACCTTCCTCTTCCCATAATTCTCCGTATCTGCTTATCCTGCCTATGCTTCCTGCCTGGCTACTGGCCAATCACCATTGTATTTATCATCCAATCAGAGCAACATACTTTCATAGCACACAGAATGACATTTCACAGCATTTCTCTAATCATGTTCAAATACTTTTATAATCATATCCAAACACTTTTATGAACAGGTTCTAGCAAAAACTGATACCCTCATTCCTGTTATACTTCTCACACTCTGATATGATACTGTATTGTATAATTATATTACCTTGAAAGATATCATTCCCTACACCTCTTCCTTCTTCCCATTTGTTCCACTCTTTGTCTGGTTAATTCATCTCTGCTTGTATTGACATGCTTCCTCTTTGGGATTACATACTTTAGTCATGTGTACTGATATAACATCTAATATATGACTTCCCAGAGGTTTCTCTGTACTTTCTATAAAGAAGTAACATTATTTATGAATTTAATAATCCTCACTTGACCGTAAGTTGGGGGACATTTTGCAAATAACGGTAACTCTGACTATTTACTATCTGGCACAGAGTAAAATTAAAAACATTTTTTGAATGATCCATATAGCATTGCAACTTTATAGCTGGGGCCCATATATCAATGAGCTTTTTAAGAACAAGAATACTTTCCATAACTAAATAAGGAAGATGAATACTGAATATGTAACAATTTAGTAAGGACCTTAAGGACAAACTCCTGCTTGCCTTTGTATTTGCTTCTGTAATATTAAATACCCAATGCAAGAATTGCCACTAATAATTACTAGGTTAGCATGCTGAGCATTAAGTGCACTAAGACACTTCAGGTTCCAATAATGAAAATACCAGGTTACTTTCTATAATATACTATAAGCAGTCAATAGGCACTGATTCAATATAATGATTTTCTATTCAAATTTTTATTCACTATTAGTGTGGGGTTTGGGGATATGGATGCAAGTGCCATGGTGCATATGTGGAGGTCAGAGAATAATTTTGTGGAGTTACTTCATTCCTGCCACTGTTATATGGGTTCCAGTGATCGAATTCTGGTCTCCAGGGTCCTACAGTTAAGCACCTTTACTCACTGAGCCACACTGCCAATTACATGGAAAGAATTTTTGTGGCATTTTTTTGTGGTTTTCTTTTTTAGTTCTTTTTTTATTTCATAATTTAATTTAATTTTACATATCAGCCACGAATTCCCTTGCTCTCTCACCTCCCCCCCCTGCCTTTCCCCCAGCCCACCCCCCATTCCCATCTCCTCCAGGCCAAAGACTACCTTGAGGATTGAGTTCAACCTGGTAGGTTCAGTCCAGGCAGGTCCAGTCCCCTCCTCCCAGGCTGAGCCAAGTGTCCCTGCATAAGCCCCAGGTTCCAAACAGCCAGCTCATGCACTGTGGATAGGACCTGGTCCCCCTGCATGGATGCCTCCATAACAGATCAAGCTAATCAACTGTCTCACTTATCCAGAGGGCCTGATCCAGTTGGGGGCTCCTCAGCCTTTGGTTCATAGTTCATGTGTTTCCATTTGTTTGGCTATTTGTCCCTGTGTTTCTTTCCAACCTTGGTCTCAACAATTTTCTTGCTCATACAAACCTTCCTCTTTCTTGCCAATTGGACTGGAGCTCCACCTGGAGCTCCACCTGGAGCCTGGCCATGGATCTCTGCTTCCGGTTCCCTCAGTCATTGGATGGGGTTTCTACCATGACAATTAGGGTGTTTGGCCATCCTATCACCAGAGTAGGTCAGTTCGGGCTTTCTCTCGACCATTGCCAGTAGTCTATTGTGGGGGTATCTTTTTGGATTTCTGTGGACCTCTCTAGCACTTTGCTTCTTCCTATTCTCATGTGGTCTTCATTTATCATGGTCTTTTATTCCTTGATCTCCCTCTCTGTTCTCGATCCAGCTGGGATCTCCTGCTCCCCTAAGCTCTCCTTCCCTCGACACTCACCCTTCATTACCCCCATTCATGTCCATGTTGTTCATGTAGACCTCATCCATTTCTCTGTCACTGGGTGATCCCTGTGTCTTTCTTGGGGTCCTGTTTTCTAGGTAGCCTCCCTGGAGTTGTGAATAGCAGTCTAGTCATCTTTGTTTTACATCTAGTATCCTCCTATATGTGAGTACATACCATGTTTGTCTTTCTGAGTCTGGGTTACCTCACTCAGGATGATTTTTCTAGATCCATCCATTTGCCTGCAAATCTCATGATGTCATTGCTTTTCTCTGCTGAGTAGTATTCCATTGTGTATATGTAGCACATTTTATTTATCCATTCTTCAATTGAAGGGCATCTAGGTTGTTTCCAGGTTCTGGCTATTACAAACAATGCTGATATAATCCCCATCAAAATACCAACACAATTCTTCACAGACATGGAAATAATAATACTCAACTTCATATGGAAAAACAAAAAGCCCAGGATAGCCAAAAGAATCCTGTACAATAAAACAATCTCTGGAGGCATCACAATCCCTGACCTCAAGCTCTACTATAGAGCTACAGTAATAAAAACAGCTTGGTACTGGCATAAAAACTGACATGTGGACCAATGGAATCAAATTGTAGACCCTGACATTAATCTGCACACCTATGAACATATAATTTTTGACAAAGAAGCCAAAAGTGTACAATGGAAAAAAGAAAGCATCTTCAACAAATGGTGCTGGCATAACTGGATATCAATGTGTAGAAGGCTGCAAATAGGTCCATATCTATCACCCTGCACAAAACTTAAGTCCAAGTTGATCAAAGACCTCAACATAAATCCAGCTACTCTGAACCTGATAGAAGAGAAAGTAGGAAGTAGTCTTGAATACATTGGCATAGGAAATCACTTCCTAAATATAACACCAGTAGCACAGACACTGAGTGTTTTATTTTATTTTAAGAAAAAGTAAATGCCTTCATGAACTAAAGCAAAAATTATTCTTCAGTTATTTTGTGTGTGTTTGTGAAAGCCTGTGTGCATGTAGGTGATACTGTTCCACTCTGTTATCGAGGGCAGTTTGAAAGGACCACAATAGTATGGTAGACTTTACTACAAGTTATATTCAGAGTGAAATTTAAAATGATTTGTGTTCTGCACTCTTGAGAGAGGAATGACAATGCTCTTCCCTATATTTGTGTAATGCATGAATCTTCATCTGAGCCTGTTAATTGCTCACATTTTTATTCTTACATAACAATTTTAGGGAAGCAAATAGTTTCTATTTCCAGAAAAAAAAGCTGCAACATACAGGTATTTTAAAAAGGTCTTCACCATTTTTCCCCTTGAATTCATATTATAGGAAATTATTACCTTAGAATGAAATAAGATCCATGTCTATGGATAGTGGATAAAAAACACAAGCATAGATTGCCAGGTATTTCTTAGAATGCACTGCAACATAAATAAATATCAATTAATTAATACCATTCCTTTATTACTAAAGTATTACAGTATGGATTTGTAGCTTGGATCACAATTAAGTTATTTGTAAAAGAACTAGAGGTTTTGTCACTGTGATTCACAACCACTTGCCAATCTTATTTTAAGAAATCTTTTCCCGTGTTAAGCTATGTTGAATCTTATTACTTATAATTGTGAGTGCCAAAAGGCTGTGATGTCTTTTCCCTACTGTCTATATTACCAGTCTTATGGAAGCTGTCTTGCTAGGCTATAGAAGTGCTATAATGAGATAAAGTACTTGTCTTAGGGTTTTTATTGCCGTGGAAAGAGAGACACTGTGACCACAAGAACTCTTATAAAGAAAACATTTCATTGGGATGGCTTATTTACAATTTCAGAGGTTCAGTCCATTGTCATCATGAGGGGGAGCATGGCAGCATACAGGCAGATCTAGTGCTGGAGCTGAGAGTGCTACATCCTATAATCAACAGGAAGTCTACTGACACAATAGCAGTATCCTGAGCATAGTAAACCTCAAAGCCTGCCCCTTCAGTGACACACTTCCTACAGTAAGGCCATATGTGTTCCAAGAAAACCATACCTCCTAATAGTGTCACTATCTATGAGATTATGGGGGGTAAATTACATTTAAACTACCACATTCCACTCACTGGCCCGCAAAAACTTGTAACAATATCACAATGCAAAATGGATTTAGTTCAACTTCCAAAGTCCCTGTAGTCTATCACATTCTCAACAATGTTTACAATTCCAAAGCTCAAAGTCCCTTCTGAGATTCATAAGATTTCTTAACTGGAATCCCCTATAAAATAAAAATTTAAAAAAAAAATAGATTACATACTTCCAACATATAATGGCACAGGATATGCATTACCATTCCAAAAAGCAGGGAAAGGAGCATAGTGAGGAAATATTGAATCAAAGAAAGACCAAAAAACCAGCTGGGTGAACTCCAAACTCTGCATCTCCATGTCTAATGTCAAAATGTTCTCTACATCTCCAACTCCACTCAGCTCTGTTGAGTGCAACACATTCTGTCACTTGGGCTGGTTCTACTCCCTGTTAGCAGCTCTCTTTGGCAGGTATCTCATGTCTCTGGCATCTCTAACATCTTAATTTTTCCAAGGCATTACAGGCTTCAACATTCCAGCTTCATGCAATGGCCTCTCTACTAGGCCTCCATTCAGGGACAACCCTGAAACATGCCTGGCCTCAGTGGCTTTATTCCATAACTCCTTTCTTCTAGCCTTAACTCTAAACACAGAACCATATGGCTGAATTTTCCAAGTCCTGCTGCTTGCTGGGCTGGAACATGGCCCCATTGGTCAATTATATCTTCAGTAATTTTCTGTCCTTCATGACCTAAGCTTGGCTGTCCTGAAGCTTGCTCTGTAGACCAGGCTAGCCCCAAACTCAGAGGTCCATCAGTCTCTGCCTTCCCAGCGCTGGGTGGGATTAAAGGTGTGCCCCATCACAGCTAGCTCTAAGCTCTTCTCTAATTCCTTTTAACAAGTTAGAAACTTAGCTGGGTGGGATCTTCCATTCCACTTTCTGGTACTGTTTTTCTCCTCAAATGTTTTTCCTTTGCACCTTCCTCCTTTTAATTATATATGTTCATTAGAGTTACCACTAATATCCACACTTGACAGTGTCTATATTGAGCTATTTTGAGATTTCTTCCACCAATGGAATTTATTCAAAACTCTTCCATTTACCTAAGGCAGACTCTTTGGACAAAGGCAGCCACTTTCATCATGAAAACATCCCAAGAAAGATCTCCAGGCAACATACAAAAATTCTTCTTCTGTGGAAACCTTGAGTGAGCACCTAGTAGTTCAAATAACTCCTAACACCTCTGCCTTCCATACTCCTACTAGTATGGCCCATTAAGCAGTGCTTAAAGCATTCTACTACTTTCATAACCTAAAGTACTAAAGTCCAAATTTCTGCAAACAAACACATGGTTAGGCCTATCATAGCAATGCTTCAGTCCCTGGTACCAACTTCTGTCTTAGTTTTCATTGCTGGAAAGAGACACCATGGTCATGACAACTTTTATAAGGAAAACATTTAATTGAAGGGGCTTGCTTACAGATTCAGAAATTCAGTCCATTATTATCATGGTGCAGAGCATGGCAGCATCCAGGCAGATGTGGTACTGGAGCTAAGAGTCCTACATCGTACAGGCAAGAGGAAGTCAACTGACACACTCAGGGGTATCGTGAGCATAGAAAATCTCAAATCCTACCCCACAGTGACACACTTCCTCCAACAATGCCATACCCACTCCAGCAAAACCACATTTCCTAATATTGCCACTCTGTGTAAGATGATGGGGGCCAAATAACATTCAAACTACCATACTAGTCTAGGTTGTGATAGGTGATAGGAAGGAAGATGAAGCAGATTGATAACCTCAGAAGAATATGTTAACTGGAATGTGGATAATTTTTATTATGAAACTAGCAAATTATTTAATCAAAGGAAGTCCAGAAATAGGATGCCAAATTCACTCTTATTCACACAAAGAGAGTTTACTTCCATTGTTGGTCTTCTTTCTTGAAGATTTTTTTTTTTATTTCTGAGCTGGGAAAACTGAGTCAATATTGCTCAAGACAGAAAACTAGGAGAGAGGTTAACATATATGCTTTGGAAATGAAATAGTGCTTGGGATCTGAAGAGATGTCTCAGTGGTTAGAAGTACTTGTTTTTCTGGCAAAGCAATTGGGTTCAGTTGTAGCATACACATAGCCATTCACAACTAGCTGCAACTAGTTCTAGAGGAGCTCATACCACCTTCTGTCTTTGTAAGCATTGCATGCATGATGCACACGTACATTTAGGGAAAAAAAGACATTCATACACTTAAAAATAAAAACCTTGTAAAGGGGATGAAATGATTCTCACATGGGAAGTAATCACTGTCACCTGATAGATGAGAGCTGTGTGATAGTTAAATACAACTGAGTTTAAACATCCAGTGTTTACATATACTGCATTTGTAAGTTATAATTCCTTTCCAGAAGCAACCATACACATGTCCTTATGATCCTTGTTTTACTGTTGATTTGTGGAGTCCTGAATCAGTAGCAATATCCTTGGGGATGAGAAGCTTAGGTATTATAATTTGAACAGACACCTGTGGATGAGAGAACAGATACCTTGCTACACTGATACCAAGTTGGACTTAATGCAGCCTATAGGACAGCATTAAGTCATTTAGGCTACAATTTCCCTCATCTTCCAAATTGGGGGCATCATAAATGAATGTCTTCCAGAGATTAGGTAGTATCATCTTTGCATTGCATAAATAGTGAGAACATTGATGATAAAAATCATTCATCAGTGACAACATATAAAGTATTCTTTTAATCCTCCCAAAATTAGAAGTCTTAGGCCAAAAGAGTTAATGGCCCTAATTAAGTGAAAAGGGGAATATATATAAAAATGTGACCTCACTTCATTCTAAAGATTGTTTTATTCCTTGTTAAAAAAAAAGACTTTTCTAATCATTTTTTCTTACAATGAGATACCTGTATATATGATATGAATAGAGTCATAAAATTTATTTCTGTTGAAAACAAAACCTTTACTTATTCTTAGAAAATTTCATATGTGTATACAATGTGTATTGATCATATCTACCTTCTTATTGTCCCTTCCCAGCTGCCCACAAGAAACCCCAATCACGTCTCCCTCTCAACATCATTTCCTCTATTGTTTTGCTTTTTGGTGTGGGGTTATCCACTGAAACATGAGTCATCTACCAGTGACAATACCCCTAAAGAAAATGGACTCTCCATCCTCCAGCAACTATCAGTTGGCAATGGGGGCTTGGGAATGTCTCTCACTTTGTCCTTGAATTTTTAGCTTGTTTGATCTTACACAGGTTGTGCAGGTAACACGGCTGTTGTGATTAGTCTGTGCGACAGCCATGTCATGTCCAGAAGAAAACATTTCACAGCACAGCTCTTCATCCTTCAGCTCTTACATTTTTGATGTTTGGGTTGTGAGCTTATCCTTTAATGGCTGAGTCATCTCTCCAGTCCTCTGGAGTTCTTTATACCTCATATTCTGTAATATTCTCTGAGCCTTGGGACAAAAGGGTATTATATATTCATTCTACCTATTGGTAAGCACTCAACATGACTTATTCTCAGAATTTTGAATAGTTATGACTCTGCATTAACTACTACCCACTGCAAAAAAAAAAAGATTCTCTAAACATGGTTGAGAGCCATACATGTTATAAACAGAAGTATTTAGAAGGCAGCTTGAAAAGGTGACCATTTAGCAAAAGAGGAACAATGGGTTCCCCGCTAGGGCCTATGACTCCTCTAGCCATGGTTTTTAAGCATGTTTGCAATGCCAGGTATAAATTATCTCCTAGGGAGTAGGCCATACATCCAATCCAAAAGCTATCCATTACCTCTATAATGATGCTGCTGCTATTCCACCAGTGATCACATGTTACCTGCTAGTTCAGTATTGCAGCAGGCAGGGCCCAGTGCTGAGTAAGACCATTGGTGTCTTTTCTTCCTCAGTAGCCTGTATAACATGTTGTAGTACTATGAAAGAAGGGAGAGTTTCCTAGTCCAATCTAGATAGTTTTATCCTAAAACCATAGTGTGTGGTGTTACTTTTTTTTCTTTGCATTACCTGCTGTCTTGCTTTCCAGTCTTTTATTCTTCTTCTTTACTGAGGT